TAATGACCAGTGTCCGTCCCGTCGCTTCGTCTCACCTTCCTGGCTGGATTCCACGTGGCTCGTCTTGTGCTGCTTAGTTTGTTCCTTTGCAGGACATAGCTCGCAGTCGGCACCAGTGGCGCGTCTGCTGTCGTTTCGTAATCGGACTTCCTGTTTACCGTGTGTTTGGTGCTGAATTATCTGTGGGGTAATGGCTGATCATGACGCTGGGCAGTGAAAGCCGCAAGGAAGCTGTCTGACCGATTCCGCTTTCGCACGATTGCCAGCTGTTTTTGACGGCATGTTAACACAAAGTGTAGACGTTTTGACCCTGAGTTTTTGCTTAGGGCATTAAGGTTTTATGCGAAGTCTCCCTTCGTTCCGTAGATCGTTATGGTTGTACGGCAGCGAAGCATCAGTCCAACTAGCTGATGTTCTGCTGTTTATGATGGTGATTAGTCGGTCACGGGGCGCTTTATCAGCAGTCGGATCAGGCGCAACCGGTCTTAACAAATCGAATGAGAACAAACCTTGGGCACTCGACAGTATATGCTTATAGTGCACCGGACATCCGGCTCATGTTCTGCGCCATTTCCAAAGTGACGTCTATTACTTGTAAGCAGGGGATTATTAGTGTAATTTGGTTTAGGGTTCTCCACCGTACCCTACAAGATACATAGTCTTCCACGCATCCGGAAAGCACTAGACTGCCGTTTTCTCCTATCGGGACTCGTCAGCAGCATGCATTTCTCCCATCCACCTTGAACAGGGCCCATCGCCTGTCGATCGGAGATGCGTATGTCACTGGACCATTGATGATGGTGGTAGACCGCCGTGACTTACATGCTGACTATTATAGGACACAATCACTCTAAGGGGCCAACTGCGTCCACTGATGCAATCATCCGTGACGTGCTGGTGTTGAAACACCATGAACTCTTTTCCTGGCGGAGCTGAGAACTTCGCACTACCGTCGATTACCGATAAGACAAGACGACCGTCCAATTCTTTCTGCGTACGTTGGGATCTGACTTGAAAGCTACTTTGAAGAACCCGCGTTATCATAACCTCTGATTACCTAGATACTTGTTATAACGCTGCGCCCGCAATCGACCGCTTGCTTCACGCCTGCTGCTAAATCTGCGTCCTTACGCGTGCTCTGTTTGACGCCTTGGCAAACCCGACAGGAAGGAAGACAGAAGACTCAGCAGACCAGAATTGTATTAGTACAGAGAACGCCCATCACCAGGTGGATTTGGCTGTAAGCCCACGCTCCACACACGCTTGTCCGCTCCGTCTGTCCAGTTCACCGTCTTGCTCGGGCACTCCAGTCTTCCTCCGCCTACCCGGTGCATGGCAACGCACGTGATGTCTGATGCGCGATTTCATCAGCTTTCGGCTTAGCCCTGGCAACACGCTCGCAGGGCCTTTCCCAAGCACGATTTGTGGCAAACACGCGAGCGTTGGCAATCAGCTTTCTCGCCCAGCTGTCAATACTTCAGTTGCTCATTCGTTCGCCGAGCTCGGAAATTTGTTTGCAACCGTTTTATCACCATGCGAGGTGATTGTATTATCTATCCACCTACAGGCGACTTTTTAATGTGAAGGCTTCAATCTGCGCTCCGTGATCTCTACCCATTTTCCCCGCGGCGAAAGTCGTCGCTCGAGTTGTTTCTATTCAAGCGACGTCTTGTAATCTCTAATTTCTTTCCGTCGGAAGGGCTGGTATAGTGGGTCGATGTCAGTGTTCATGTTGATTGAGTCTCCTTGAGAGCCAGGCTTCCAGCAACTCCCTCTTCTTATCCGTCACTTTCTCTACATACGCTCCGCGAAACCACGTTGCCACCTTCCGGATTTGCTCGGCCTTGGGCACACACCACCACACACGCTGCAACACCGTGTGTATGATGACTGCGAATTTATACCAACCTGCATCTGTCGCTCACGTATCCGACTTTTCTATCCTCGATCTACCAGCAATTGATGTGATCACCCCATTGTTGTCGATCCATCGCTTCCACCTAAAATCATCGTTATTTGGTGATGTACCCACTTCGACCTCGTTCCGGCACCATAGCTTCTGTTTGCATGCATTCATTCTTGCTGATCTCACTTGGCCACGGTTGGTGTTATCGTATCATGGTTGCATCTGTTTGACGGCTTTTACCAAGCCGTGGAAGATATCTCGACAGCAAATTGCATTTCACTCCAAACATGTGCCTCCTGTGGAGCGCTTCAATATCAGGCGCTCCACCTCCAACGGATGCACAACACCCGGCCTCAGGTAGCCTTCGTGAATTTTTTTTCAAACAACCGATGTATTTTTCCGAAATAGCTTCCAGGTTTGTTGCTGCTGGGAACTAACGGCAGTCTTGTTTTGTACACCATCAGTTTAGTCTACACTGTTAAACGATACTAATTCCTTACCCATTGTTCCCGCCTGATAATAACCGCACTCACCTCCGTTAAAGTGCGCTCCTTACTTATTATCTACCAGTATATTGAACAACAAAGGTACGTTTGCTACGTAACACTTCGTAGCTTATCCGGAGAGTCAAACAGCGGATTAGCCGCACTCCTGAAGTGGCATACAATTTCGTCCCTGTTGGTGATGATTCAGAGGTTAACTCCACCGGAGTGAGTGTCACAAACATTCTTTGCAGCTTGTTTCAACCGCGCGCAAGCAGAGCGCAGTCGTCTGGTAAAGAATAGTATCCAAATGGTTGTCACACTCTTTGGTTCTCACCTTAAAACGACTGATATTCATCAGCCGTTCATCCATATGACGCTCAAGGCGGACGGTTTGTTCACACTTGATCGCCTTTGCCCCGACAGGAGAATGGCTCGAGTCCTCATACAAGACCACACATACGGTGTGCTCTCAAGAAAAGGCAACATCATGGACCTACTTATCCCAACGATTGTCTACTTTTAGTCAGGTAATCTTTAGCCCAACTCCTGCCAAGTGGTCGGTTTGAGGAAAGTTCTAGGATTAGTCGACGCCCACTTCGCGGCGGTGGAGGGTCATTGATCCACCAGAAGCTCGCCGCCACAATTCCCAAAGAGCCAGGAATTCCCTCACACATTTTCTAACACGATAACTTGCGCTTCTCTCTGACGCTTTGCACTGTCGTCAGAGTTTAACTGGCACCTTCAGAGGAACCTCATTCGATGGACCATGGTCAAGAACGCTACTCTTAGTTCGGGGCTGCAGTGCGGCTCCTCGTTTATCCTCTATTTAGGGCGGCTTTTTACACTCACAGCTTTGACTTTCCACGTCGATCTTCGCGTCACTCTGGTCAGATTGATACCTTCGCAGTCAGTTTTCGCATGCTTATGTTACACAAGTGGTAATAAACAGATACTTCGCTGCGTGCATTGCTAAAATTGTCTGCCGTACCCACTGAGTTTACCAAACGAGGCAGGCCACTTGTAAGTTTCCATTTGCAATCCCCTTATGCAGTTGTATCATACGTATACACATTCAGAATTGAATAGCGATGCGTATTGACACATGCGTGATGCGGGATATTTTACTTATGCTACTGTACCGAACCGGCTACGCCGTATCCACGTTTAACGGTTTACGCTCCTTTTAACGTAAAACTCGTTACTCAAAATAGGTGTTATTCGAATGTTTTAAACCGGCCCATCACATCCTTTTTAAATTTCCATCAGTTGAGTTTACACCAGAGACAATGAGGTATCCCATTCATTTTCTGACGTGTCCTAGCGTATTCGTCACCAGCTGCGTCTCCTGACTCTTATCTTGTTTACCACTATAGCTCTGCACCCGCAGGTAGTTGTTGTCCATATCTCCCAATCTTTTGTGTTGTGCAGTACCAAAACTAAAAACTGTTATTAATGAGTGATATGCTGCTAGGTCTCAAATTTTGGTAGCTTTCCATTGGTTCTGGCTAACACGTCTTTTGACTTATAAATGATTTGATCTGGTTCATCGCAATTAGATTCCAAGCTACAAACATAAGCTACCAATCCGGAAAGCACCAGACGCGCGTTTTGCCCTATTGAGGCTACGGTTGCCACATGTTCTGCTGTGGCATGCTGGTTTCATTTTCCTTCTGAACTATAGACATTTTCAATAACCTACTTATTCGTAAATCTCGTTTCTCTCCGTGGACCCACTCTCGTCCGCTCTGGAGAAATATTTCTATTTGGGTGGCTTTCATCTAACCGGTAACATAAAACGGAACTTTTACTGTCTAACGGGCAACTGTGTTTAACCTTAACAAGACTAAGAACCTTACATCTTGTCTGGGAAAGTAAAATATCTCAGGAAAACCCATTATTTCAATGGGAAGACGATTTGAACCATTTTCATGCAACAGAAACATCAAGACGTTTCAGAAATATTTACAACAGGAACGTTCACGTCTACATGACACACGTGCCTACCTCTCCGTAGGCTAGCTGAACTAAACTACCAATGAGGGCAGCTGACCTAGCTGCTCTGACACGCGAAACTTCCTGGGTTGGCCAATAAATATTTATATGTTTCTACACTACTTGTCTCCGTTTCGGTAGCTGGTTTGAAACGCTCTTTTGCCTCCGAGTTTTGCATTATTTCCGGCGAAGATTCGGAACTAGCAGAGAATGATTTCAGCTCAACCAGTCTCGCGTAGACCGGTGGATCATAACACATCTCTCTTTCTAGCTCGACGGTTTTCTTGCTCTCGTTCTTATTATTTTCTGATCACTTTTAAAGCCTTTGCGAGTGTGCTACGACCCCTTAGGCTACTAAAAGAGTTCCTTCTATGATCATCCGCTTTTGTTGATTGCTTTTATATCCCCGTTGTCGGTTTGATTTTCGTTTATTCATTTCTTCATCTACGTTCACACGGCGATAATCATGCCCTCGTCCATTTTAAGTTGCACAGTTCTGGTCTTCATCGATGGGTACCTAGTGCACTGTACAACTTCTCGTTGGTATAGCTACCTCTCTGCTTATCTTTTTTGACCACATATCGCATACTTGTTGGTTCTGTTTCTCTTCTCAACAGAATTGGATGATTACGAGAAACCTGATCTATCTGTGGATTTGATAACTGAAAAGACTGCCCCCCACACCCCGAATGACGCCGAAGAATCGATATTCCAAAACGCCTGGTCCTCCGCTTCTCCTGCTTCCCCCCCATTGTCACCTAACCTCAGCCCCACCTCCGATCTTAAGCGAACTCTAGGTCAATCACCAGATGTTTCGAAGGTCGATTACTCCGAGGACCTAGTGTCTAAAGCAGAGAGCGAATCGGAGGAACTCTTTCCTAAAAAGCGAGTTAAGGTTGAACCGCAGCATTCTCCTGTGCTTCCAGTAAATCAGACTCCCGCTGATACCACTCATCCGGATCATGTTCGAAACTCTGCACCCGAATCGAGGACCAAGCAGAAGAAGAATATAGGTTCGAAGACAAGGAGTAGGCACTCGCATGGCACTTCGCAGAACGGAACCACAGTTTATAAAGGAATGGCCACTCGTCGCCGCCGTCTCATTGACAGTAGTGATGACAGCGACTCTACGGTCGGATGGACTGAACCCCCCGAGCCCAAAACGCATAATCGTCTACGAGATCATACTGTTTCTGTTCCTCCGACTGAAGAGCCTGTTGTAGATCTGCCTCCACTCACCAACTCAAGGTCCGACCACCGCGGTAGCGCTGTCCAAGCCGAAACTGCCGTCAGAAGAAGACAAAAATCCATTAAGAGCGACACATTAGAATCCCAGGCGAAATCCACAACTCCCGTGTGAGTGGCTTTGGTGGTTAGATACTGTTTTTTTGAATATTGTGAGGTAGTGTGTCATTTTCCCGAAATCATTTGACTCTCCTCACTGACAGATTAGGTTTATGGTGGAGTCGAACGCATGCAGTAACATTCATGTATTTCCCTGGTGTCTCGTGACTATTTACCTGGATATAGTTTTTGTGAATTCTGGCAACAAATGTCCGGGTATATTGTTGCGTTAATCCCTTCAAACTTTACACTTCGCCACGCGTTCCACCCTTGTTTGGATTTCTCAAAAGCCTCAGACTGTGTTCACTACGCATAAATTAGAAACACTTCATTCTCAGTTTTGAATATGGTGATAAATTCACCCGACGGGACGTTCTCACAGATTCATATCCTCATCTGACATATCTGCCCAAAAAATAAATTAAACTTTTCCACTTCGAAACAGTTGTTTAGCTGTCCGCATTCTACATCATTTCTGCTGGACTTTTTGAGCGACTGCTTGGATAGCTCTTCAGAAAAGTTAGTTGCACACTGAACTGCGAGTGAATTTTGTTTCCATGTACGTGCACTTTACTCGAGATTAGAATGTTTTATCTGTAGTGCATTTTCAGCTCGGTTAATGCTCACCATGAACCCAACACTTCACCCTATCAATCCATCGTTCGTTTGTTACATCAAGCTTCTCGCTCATACTGTCGTGATACATATGTTGATCGTGGTTTTTTCGTCTCTGCTCTTCAGAAGTTCGTTGTTTCTTAGCACGACACCGATCTATTTCTTGAAATATATATATATATATATATATATATATATATATAGTATGTATGTGTGCATGTAATAGTTGTTCTTTGAATTATCGCTTTACTTCATCTTCGTCTTTCAGTTCGCTGGCTAACGACGCGCCAGGGGATACGAAAGAGCCGCAGCCTCCCGAAGGTAAGCATATTTGTTGTACCCTGAAACCCGTTTTAACTAGTGCGGATTGACTTCCTGTTTTTCAATATGCTGTACTTGTTCTATTCGTAATTCTTACTAGGTGATTACTTCGCTTATCCATCTCTGTTCTCTCGGTACCCCAGATTAAGTGCCTCATTGTTTTTTTCTCTTTCCACATTGTTCACTTACTACTTTGCGAATCTCTGCTCTGACCCGCACGCTAGCTTAGTTAAATCAATCCTCTGTAATGTTCCGTGCTTTGTATGTGTGGGACTTTACCATCACACCAAATTGTCCCACAATGTGAGGTGAGTCTCCAATGTATTTCACAACGCAATCTGTCTCTAGTGTCTCGTTGTTCTCATGCCGTTGGTGTCGTCACAAAAACGTATGATTTCTTGACACACAATATTTTGGTTACCATGTGCAGCCCTGAATCTGCCAAAATTGCCTTCTCTCTCGAACCCTGTGCGCTATTGCGGATACAGTTCTGTTAGTCGGCATTTACAGGTAGACCATGTAAGCCCTTCGCAGATGTTTTGGGCCTGACTCTGGATCATTTGTTTCACATGTATTGGCTCCGTCATTGCTTGGTACTGATTTCGGAGCATTTGTCTTGAATCCCAGTAACACCCTAACCTGTTACGGACGGACAGCAAGCAGTCTCATCCATCTGCGATTGCGAGCTAGTGTCAGTAAACCGTTAGGTAAACATGCCGGAATTATCTGCGTATTATGCTTTTGCATTCCCCGCCTGTCACCATGCATCGCGGCAATACCTTCCATTATGTGTCGGTCGCCACATACCCAACCGTTCTACCAACCTGTTAAAATGTCCGCACCAGTGGAGTTTTCCAGATCGACCACATCAGCAGTTACATATCCTATCGGGTATGGTGCGATTGCTGAGCCAGTGGTGATCTTGTTTACTTTCTGACACTTAGCTACTCCTGTCTTCCTTGAGTGCATTAATCATAGTTGATACAGAACCGGACTGTTGTAATCTAGAAGCGTGTTTCTCCTGACTGTGAACGCGATGTAACCGGGCACACTGAACTGCAAACTTAGAAATCATAGCGAAGCTTGGTGGACCTAGAGATTGCTGGAACTAGGAGCCGTGGATAGTTTCCATATTCTACATCATTTGTCTTAAGACGCCAACTGTCAGTGTGGCATAGACACTAGTATGCACCGCCGTCACACCCATTTGGCGGAACACTTTCGGGTACATTTCTGTTATCCGCCTATCACTGGTCTGTAATCGCGTCTTTGCTAGCCACAGAATTATCCATTTGATACTAATAAAAACAGGGCGGGTAGCCTCCATTACCTTTCGTCACGTTACTGTGGTAACGGAATCACGGACGAGGTGCGCCGACCAGCACGGGGCCACTTTCACCTTATGGTCAAAGATGGGGTAACGTCGCACCTGTCGGCAACACCATTCCTGGTCTTCAAAAATGCATTCCTTTTAGTTGATAACCTATTCTGATCGACTACTTGGTTGCAAACCCACTTACATCATATACGTGGGCATTTTGCACTCCGTACGATCAAGCGTCTGAAGTTGCCTCAGCGCCAGCAGCAAGTTATCGGGTGCATTCCCGATAGCAAGTAAAATATACAAAAATTGGCCCGTTATGTTCTGTTTGTGTTCTGCTTCCTTTTCTCACTTTTGCTATTTGTTATTCCCCTGGCGACCTGGATTGTGGCAACTACATTCACCACATTTCAGCAAACTAAACTTACCCATAATCCCATTTCTGTTCATTGTGATCACAATCCTCGTCACTAACAGATATCATTTTATGTTGTCTTGTGGTCCAGCTAACGGTGTGTGATCTAGAGAACAATGTTTAATGTGAGCAGAATCACCGAGTGTTGCACCGTTGTTGGCAACTCTGGACATATTCTATAACCGTCCTGTCCTTTGATGGGAGCTATCTACCTTCCGCCATACACGCACGGTTGCGAAGGCTTTAGCTTCTTGCAAACCAGCTGATACTTGGCGACGAGTTAATGAAGGTATTTGATTGCTCCACCTGCCCTTACAGCTGCATTTATAGTGGTGGACATGTGGATGCTGAAGTCGATTCATCTTCCTTGCAACCGGAACGGGCTTCATCATCATCATTCAGCATATCACCAAAGGCTTGAAGTACAACTTATGCGCTGAAATACAATTCAGAAAGATAGTCGGCAAAATCCTAACAATGAGCATTGTGCCTTGTTTTTATGTACTGGGAATGAGTTGCTTAGAGGAAAAAGGAGGGACAAAGAAACCCACAACACATTGGCCATGTCATTGATTGTCTTCTACCAAAACTGCTCATCGTTTTTGGAACCCTTACTAGGAAGTTGAGCGACACCAATCGAGGCCAAGTTCGAAGTGGAGCATTCATTACTTTTGACCAAATCATCAGCTGTCTTATTCTATCTAGGTCCCGGTTGTGTAAATAACGCATGTCGCGGGAGTTGGCGTACTAGCATACGTAAGACTTGGTCTGGACGTCGAAGCCTGGAACGGGAAATAACGGTTCTGTGCGATTAACCCACTCGTCCTACTCTAAAAACAGCGCGATATTCGTGCTCATTGCTCACTGAATGTTATAACTAGGTGCAAATTGCGAAGTCTCCGGTGTCCGATCGCTATTACTCCTTTTGTTTTTGTAGATCTGATGAGTCAGCTTTGGCAACGTACAGCAGGGCTAAGCGGTGGCAAACATGGCATCGCGTCGGCATCATCATCATTGCGCCAAAAGTTTTGGCTACACGATTTATGACCTCATATTCTGTTCCACATGCGCTGATATAACTGCTATGTAGTTAAATTTCTGAACGGCTTGCAGCCTCGTAGTCTGGGTCGTTCTTCAGTGTTGGGTGTCGACCCTCTTGGTTAGTAAATCTCGGACGTCTTCAGACCGCTGCCCAATGTTGTTTACTGGTTATTTTTAATGCCAAGAGTACCTATGTGTTTGCAGCGATATGGCACACAGTTTAGTGCAAGATAGCGACGATGGAATTATCTCGTCAGTTCAACAAATTCGACTAAATGTGTCGCTTTGGTTCGGAATGTGCAACGTGAGCCCACTCAGCGGTCATCTAGACGATCCCTGTTTCTTCATGCTTGTTAGTGAATTCGAGATCCGCGGGACATACAATAGTTCCCAACCTGATATATTAGAAGTTTTTATCTGCGTTTTCGATGTGTTTCATCGTGCTCCTAACGTTCCGTGCAATCTGCTTTTTTCTAACTGCTTTTCTTCTTTTAGTCGTCCAATTTCGGTCCATATCTCATTCTTTTGTCTGCTGTCTTTTTACCGGACCCACCGTGCTCTGTAGTTACAATCTCGATTAAAAGACTGAACACTGTTGTGGATACCGTCTCCGTCTAATTCGACTCGTCACCGTATAGACATCATCTGTTTCTTTTGACACTTATCGGCATTTTATTCTTCCCATTGCATGCTTGTCATCTCGCTTACTCTTTTTTTCCTTGCTTAATGCAAAGTACGCCGAATGCACTACTTTCTATTGTCCTACAATTTTGTACATAACGGAGCACCCGATGCTCTTTTTTCTTCCCATTTTCGTGATCTTGCGGCTCAATGCACGCATAGCTGCAGCTGTTCCTTTGAATTGGGATCATCAAAACGCGAAGACGAATCTCGGTGTTGCTCACTTGTAGCGGGAGTATGGTACAAATAACGAAGAGATTTTGTGGTCCAGCTTACGATTCGGTCTTCCAGTTCATGTGTACGTGGTCACTCCAAAAGCCAATATCGGTTACTTGTTTGTCCGATTCAATTAACGTGTGTTTTGCCCTGCTGTGGACTTAGATTCGTGTCAAGGGTGACAAGCACCATTATTTCTTATGGCTCTATATCCCCAGACTATCCTTTTTTTTGTCTACTTGTGTAACTGTTACTATGATTTTTGCACTGCTTTTTTGTAATGTCTTGCAGCTCCTCATCTTCCCACCTCTCCTGATCCCACTGACGTGGTCACTCAGCTCCACCATCTATGCAGAGACCTGAAAGCTAGTTTGATTCGAGGTCATGAAAATTTCTCACTAGCTGTCCAGCATCTCACTCGGCTTTCAACAATTCCCGTGCGGCTTCCGCAATTGGCACAAGCCTGGGATCTGATGGACTGTATCAAGAAGGTAGGCTAAGCGATATTTGTGTTAGCCCCTATGGTTCGTTAAAATCGTAGCCTCCTCGTCATCATTTCTCCATATGCGATTTCCGCGATATTGCGATTAATTAAGCACTTGTCTATCGTCATAATTCTTGTAAACACTGCTATGGTTTTTACCGTCGTTTCCAGAGGCAACTTTCACTAATTGATTGAACACCGCAAGCAAAATGAAGTCTTGAGATGAAGGCTAGGCGCACCTTTGATCCTCTTGATTTTGGGGTTGATTTTTGATAGCGTTTTCTATCTTATCTCGGGAACTTCAGAGCTATGCTCTGTCAAGTCCCATTCTTGTTTCCTCAGCGTTGATCGGGTTCGTTTTGTAGAAGTATACCCTATACTACTGGTGGTTTCAAGTGGGCGAAATGTCGGTAAATTGTCCGATACCAAGCGGACGCCACTGAGTGACACTTTCCGTACTCTGACCCGAAGCTACGATACACTCACAGCCCTACACGCCCATCACTATGTTGTACGGGCAGTCAACAAGATCAGCTCCCTCTTGTTACGTTGCTTACCGCATGGTAGTTCCTGGTCGCCTCAGCCTGTTGGCTTGAACACTATCTTGCGTTGTCTGTGCTGTCACGTTAGCTATCAACATGAACCGTTTACGCGCTTTCATCCTTCTTTGCCAACGATAAACCTTTGGTGCCTTGTTAACTCTGCATTGGCACCGTTTTTAACCCAGCACCACTATTGGTGATGCACTGACGATTTATCAAGCCATGAATTCACGCATCATCATCATCATCTCCGCCCTATAATGCTTTACTTGTTCATTGAACTTTCAGTGCCGACGTTACAAACTGTCCGCAGAGGTTCGCGAGGCAGCTCAAGGAACTTTGCGAATCTTTCAAGCCATCCAGAGCAGCGCTACCAAGGAAGAAGTAGGTTATCTGTCTTTCCGTCTCTTCTCTATTAATTCACCATTGTTAATGTTACTGCTGCTCCCACCGCTGCCACTGTGCATCTGGGGTCATAGTGTCGACCTGACTTACTTCCATGTATCTACTATGAACTACAAATTGACATGATGCGAAACAACGAAGGCGCTTTTTCGGATACAGTAACCTAAAATATTGTTCTAATAAAGTAGACTACTTGAGGCGCCACAATTTTGATTACTCATACAAAATAATGTCGTTCGACGTCCGTACTGCAACAAACTACCTTTCTTTACGTGATGGATTGTTGCTTTAAATGGTTTACTTCTAATAAGTACGGGGCAACTACATAGCTTTATAAACCAAGTCTCAGATTCTGTCGGAACCATTCACAAATATTTTTGCGTAGGTCACTGGCTACGGGCAGCTAACTGCCCTCTGCTGAAGCGCGCTCACTGAATATTCGAACGAAATCCGCAACTGGTTCTTTTCCAGCTTGTCCAATTATTTCTACTGACAACTAAGTCGACTTGTACACTTCAGCTGCCAGCTGTTGCTTTCTCTTCAGTTAACCTCGTCGTCGGTACAATGGAGTGGAACGCGTCAGAGGTTTATTCCTTCTGAATTCAACGAAACGCCAAATCGTGTACCCTTCTCTTTATAATCTAACAAGAGTTTCATATGACACATTGTTAGCGTGTGACTCACCAATCACAAGATGTCCCACCTGTTTCATGTTAAGCACGATCTCGATAGTATCAATTCCTCAAATCAACTTTGTTCCAAGAACCAACACACGGTTTACATGGCTCCTCAGTGATAATTAAAATTGATCCGTTCACCATGACAGGCTGCCACTATCGTTTAGAGGTATCGTTTCTTGGTGAGGTTGGGAGATCGCCTAGCACTGACGAGATTTATTGGAATGAAACGACCGTCTGCTGTCTTTCCACATGTATGTTTAGTCAAAAAACACTTCGTAAATCGAAGTGGGTCCATCTTCAGCATCTACACTACCACGGCGAATGAGTACATCCGCATAAGACATATCCACAGCCGTCACTCTAACAATCACTCAGCATGTTTACGACCGTTTGGTCAGCAAGCAAGTCTGACAGATAAGGTTAGCTACTATTGGGACACGATTAAGCGTGGTAAACAGATTTGAGTTTTCAACGCGTGGAAGAGAGACCACGTTTTTAGTAGGTCACTTTGCAGTAGGTGCAATCGTTCATTTGGGATCTTGGAGGAAAACTATTGCAAGCGTCAAAAATATCCAGAATTGATCAAGTCAACTACATAAGCCGCTGCATCTAGAAATTTGCTTCGTTGATTGTACCGGTGAGTAGTGGCTTTTCTGAAACAATCTAGGGCAGATAACAGGAGCACAAAAGAAAGAGAAGCCGAGCTGTACGCTATCGGACGCGTCCCCGGGTTGCGGATCGGGGAGCGTCTTCCTTGGGGAGGTAACTTCGAATAACTCGTTTTCTTTTGCAAGCGAGATGAATAAGCAGTCGCGGACAATTAGCGACTGCGTCTCAGAGCGTGTGGTTCTGGGCTGTTTATTTGGTTCTTGATCATATACCACATGAGCTCGTACGGCGCTGTGTGAAATCCAATGTGACGGGTTATATGGTCATTGACTACTCACTTCTGTAATCTGAGGTGAGTTTCTAACGGAGGGCGGATGAACCGGTTTTTGTGTGTACTGCTGTAGAACACCAAGAAGGCGAAACAGCCATCTGGTTGTCAACGGTCTTCGCATTCAGCAGGTAGTTGGACGCTTCAGCTACATGCGTAAATCGCCTCGCTGCTTTGCGAGTCAGGTTTTTAAGACCAAAGTCTCGAGATGGGCAACCGGGAAGCTTTCTACCCACACATCACATGAAATTTCATATTTCTTCCCGTGACTGATTCTTCTCTTTGTTTAGTTGTTAACTATGTGTTTGTGGCACTCTGCTAAATGTTAATTTGTCAAGTGTTGAGTAATATATATATATATATAGGGGAGAAATATAACCAATAGGTATATAATGCATCAAGTCATCGATTTAAATATTAATGTACCGGGTACTGCAACACCTTAAGCTGGCTTTGTCAACAAGAAATGCGGCACATCCTTGGTGTCATGGAGTCAATTTGGCTCTATTGGGTACAACATGCTATATGGTTATAATAAAAGCACTCTCTTAGGGCATCGTGAAAAGTGTCCGTTTGACAACCATTACCCTTTAACCATGGCTTCTGTGACCACATATACACCTGTCTTTTTCATGTATATCACGACTGTCATCATCTTCCGACTCTGACTCGGTAGCACTTATTTCACCGATGTCTGATACTTCAGTACTGTGTCCATTATCGCTTTCATCCTAGCTCTAATCACCTCAATGTCCTCATTTTCGCTATCGATGTCACTTAGACCACCTAATGGCTATGGGAGATCATCCGGAGAAAAAGTCCCCGTCCTATAGCCATTTTTTATCTTTCACCCTCCAGTGAACCTTGAGCTAAGAAAGAAATATATGAACAGCACTATGGAGTCAGTTTAGCACCAAGCATAAATAATAGAGAAACGGAAACACTTAAACAATCGAACATGTGTCACGTAGTTAGGAAGGCCTTAGGAGGAAATACATGGCGGGTGAGATCAGTATTCGCGATTGTTTCTATAAACATGGTCCGAAGTGGACTGGACTTACATAGACCCCATAGTACCAGTGTAAATATTACAACTTTGCATTTGAAAGATTTCAGAGAAAGGGATCTCAATGAATACCACCCCATCTACTTCTAATCCACCTTGAAACAATGAGGAGATCTGAATAGCGAGGGCTTTACTCCCCAGCGCAATATCGTCAGCACATTTGCATCCGACAAAAGTGGGTGATCAACATATAAAGAGAATAGGTGAGGTGATAGGATTTCTCCCAGCAGTACACCAGTCGGCAGGGAAAACTGGTTTCTTACCCGGTTAAGTGAGTACAATTCATAAAATAGTCACGCGAAAGATTATATCACCTGGTGAACTCGTTTTTGGAAAGCAGATGGAGCAACTTAGACCACTCCACATATCTGCATAATTGTTGGAAGGAAGCCGTTCGGATTTCTTTCCTTGATCTATTGCAAACGCTATGCTAATGCATCTAGTGTAAAGCACTGCGGTCTGTATGCGAATTGCTAAATATTGTCAGCAAACGTTGCTGTGAGAATCCGCAGAATAAGTAGTTTTCCCGAAACCTTTCATCAGCAAAGATGTACACGCAATTGCCTACCAGCACGATCATTCGTCTTGTTTCCAAAATGTTCCTCCACATTTCGTTTAAAGGTGTCACTGATTTCGTGACCATATTCGAGGAAGCACAGATTTTTGACCTTACCATCTTTTTAAAGAAACTAACGGCTTGGAACACGATGATTGACCGTGGTTAAAAAAACAAAATATCTCAGAGTTTCAAATGTAACGCTGTCCACAGTCGATACCGCAATATGGTGCCCCAAAAAGAATAGCTACGGCGGACAGGTTTATCTTCAATGGATCCGGCTGCTAGGAAATATTTACAAACGGTACTCAGGACTACGAAATTTAGGCACTACTCCAAACGTGTGATCGATCAAATTCAGCCGGTCTTAACAACTTGCATCATTAACAGGGATGGGACAACCGAACCCGAGTCTACTGCATCTGCAACCTAAGGGTCTCCGGTGTAGTTCGAACCCCCCTTCCGACACTCCAGTCACATATGCAGAGATTGCTGTAAGAGTCTCGGGATGCTAAATTTAGTATCTCATCTGTTGCAAACACCACTAGCGCCAAGGGAGCAACAAACAATAGGCCATCATCACTTGACATAAAGCAAGGCCCAACAATTACCCGACCTTGCTGTTCAACAAAATAGGGCTTCAATAATAACTCCCTGACTGTCGTGTACACCGATGTCCCCGAATCTACTGACATCACATTGCGGGGTAGGTTATCTGACGACCAAGACCAATGGAACTCACTGTGCATTTTGATAAACGTAAAAGGCAAACCCGCAAACCTAGTGAGAGTTAGTCGTCATCCGAACTCTCCACACTATGGTCAACCCAGAATTATTATAGTGACACTGGAATCGGTCATTGATGTGGAAAACCTTTTACTCTGCAAGTGCGCTACAACACGAGTCTTGGAATGTACGCATTTATCCTGAAGTCCCTTGGAGCACGACTCAATTGAAAAGAACAATCTTGGATGGACACAGTAAGCTGGAGTGTCCAAGCACGATCTTTATTTATTGCCTGTCAGAACTTTCTTCACACGATATTCATGAGGCCGGTAACCATAATTTGGAACAGTGGCGGTTCATTCGTGAAACACTTTCCTTGGACAACCTTGTGGCGCGATCGCTCAAAAGGCTACCTCTCACCAAATTATGGAGGAAGCGGACCAATAATTCTAAAACTCCTGGTTTAGTCAGAGCAGACAGTGACGGAAGTGTTAGAACGTTGGCGGAGACATCGTGAAAGCCTTCTATCTAAACTTCGCCTAAAGGCTACGGTAGCCTTGCAATAACCAGACATCAGCCCACCTGAAAAGCAAACCTACTAGTGATACCGCAGGACCATCACTTGACCGCTCGATCACACCATTCTGCAGTATGTCCGGACGAGGAATGGGCCGCGCCTTGGCCAAATCAGTTTGCGAACGAGGTTTCATCATCGCATCAAAAAACGAACAACGGCCGATCTCATATCGGTTGACATTCTACCACGCTTGACTCTTTAGGCTCCCTGTGGGCTCCTAGAGACTGAGAAACTATCCTGCATTTATACCAATGCTCAAGGCCTTTTCAATAAGCTGGCCGAATTGAAAGGTCGCCAAATTTCGGTGTCACAGGGACATGGTTGCACAGTGCAATGACAGGCGCTTCCGGGCATGTCACTCATACGAAACGACAGGCTTACGAAAGGCGGAGGGGTACTTCTGTATTACCGAAGCGACCTACCATGCGACGTCATTG